TCTTCCTTGCATTACCCAATCCCCTCACATTCCAGCTTAGAATTCTCATCTCAACTTTAGAATTTAACCCTAAAGAACCACTAGATATCTATTTGAATCCTTTCCTTCTATCCCCTCTCACACCAAACTTCTTATCCCCCTCGATATCTCTTTTTAATCTCTCCACTTCACTCAATTTTCTTTTCTTAATCTTGCTCTCCTCCTTTCTTTTTATTAGGGAAGCTTTTAGATCATTTGGATTCTTCAATTTACACCCCAACTTTCCAACAACTTCAGCTATCGAATCATCCTTCCTAGTCTCCTTCCCTCTTTCATTTATGTTCTATCCAATAACTAGTCCTCTCCTCCATTCTAACCTCCTCCTCCTCATTGCACACCTGCTCAGACCCATTTGTAACTCTCCTTTGTAGCTCATTTTTCTCGATTTCACCCATTATGCTCTCAATGATTCCCCATATTCTTTCTTCCCTTAAAGTTCCCTCCATCCTCACCTCTCCCCCCTTCTTTCCTTAAGGACTCAGTGTGGCCTCCTTCTCATGGGCTTCTGAGACTGGATTGGGAATGGAATTGGGATCATAGGGTTAGTAGGGTTAGTAGCAAAAGCTAAATGAACAGGGTTAGTAGGGTTACCTGGGTTCAGCTAGGCAAAGGGAATTGGGATCGTAAGCGAACAGATGGTTGTCAAGCCCTGTGTGTCAAAATTGGAGTTTTCTGTCTCCTCGTTTTGGAGGGAAATATTCCCCGTCATTTTGTTTTCACAACGACTGCTCCCCTTACTTGATTGTTTACCATTTTGTGATGTATTCTTGCTCAGTTCTGGGTTAACGTAAGCTAACACCTCGGTTTTCCGTACAGCACTAGCACTTGGGAGAGGCTTTTCCAATTCTGGGCACCAGAATTGCCCCCACCTCTTTGATTGTGAGTCTCTCAGTTTTCAGCCTCTGTGTTGTGCATCCCTGCCTCCTTGTTCCCTTCTTGTTCTCCCACCATATCTCCATGGAATAGGCAATCCAAGTTTAGGGACTCCTTGTTATGATCCTCTTGAGATCCTTCATCTTCCAGGCTTCCGAAACTTGAAATGTCATTTGAACTCTCCTCCTCAAAGTCACTGTATGAACCACAACTTATCCACCCTTGGTCTTCTACATCCCTCTCTTCTTTCTTATCCCTCAAATAGCGCAGATTAAGGCAATCTGCTGCGCTACTTTCCTGTTCCTCAACACCCAGTCGAGGGACCCAACACAGAGATCGAATTTCTCTCTCTATTCGGCATTTTTTCTTTTGTTTCAGTTCGGCCAGGGCTGCTTTGGAAGATGATAGATGAGATTTTTCATCTATCATCTCCCTCTTTCTTTCCCGACCCACATGACAACTTAAAGTGTCACGTGGGCCTCTAAGAGTGTTAAAAGGTTTGCTATCAGGCTCACCCAATCTTCGAACCGGCTCAGAGTGTGCGCCTTGGTTAATACCATCTGAACCCAAACCCCTTCATGCCACATCAGCATAGGACTGTAGACCATAGCCAAAAGTCTTTAGTTCAAAAAAATTGGAATTAATTGCTTTAAATGGAGTGCTTTGGGACTGGTTAACCTCCTGCGACTGTTCCCCTTCTTTTTTCACTGTACCAGTCTTCTCCTTCAGCCCCTGAAAGCCATGTGTACTCCAACCGGCCACCTCAGCATCCCCCCTTTCAGTTGTTCGTCTTCCCCAAAGCGACGCCTCAGCTTATGAGGCAATCCAAACTTTGTACCAGGCACCATCCGAGCATATCTTAATCGAATGAGGCACTTGTTCTGGTTTCAATCCTGCAACTCTAAGTTCTACTGCTCGCAAGCTCCTCTGGTTTATCTCCAATACTACTTCACCCAAGGTTTTTGCTATTTTTTCCAAAGTTGTTCCGTTCCAGAGGTGAAATGGAAGTCCAAGCAACTTAATCCGATAGCTACCTTCTTCTAGTACGATTTCATTACAGATTGGGACCCATTTTTGTATCTGTACCAATCCGCCATCGATCTGTATCGTGTTAAAGCTCCACTTCTGAACATCAACTTCCAGGATAGCTTTCTTCTCAGAGAAAGGCAATATTATAACATCACCTTCCAGCTTTAACTTTTGTGCCACTGCATCTAGGATTTTTGTCCAACCCTTTACTTTCCTTTCAACCGTTAGAACCATTCTGTGCTCCCAACTTTTCCTCCCTTCTTCAACTGTTAATCTCCAACATACGGTTGAGCTTGCTACCGTAACTTCTTGACAAACAGGGGCCTGGTCCAGGTTGGTATTAGGTAACCACTGGGAGGAGGAGTTACTTCCCTTCGGTGATTCTTCTGCTACCTCACTCTCAACTTTCAAGAGGAAAG